AATTTGTATTTTCTTGTATGTGTCTGTGTTTGAATGCATGTGCGTACAGATGCATGGTGATTGTAAGGAGTGGAAGGTACAGGCTGCTGGGAACTGCCGTGTGGCTGCTGGGAACTGAACCGGGGTCCCCTGGAGGAGCAGCCAGTGTTCTCAACTGACAAGCTGTCTCTCCAGCCCTGAGATTATTTACTATTCTGTCCTTTTTCCATATTAGAAATGGAGATATACGAACATCTGGGAAGTTGGTTTTTCTGGCTAGTAAGAAGTGAGGGTTTAAAGCAAGGCAGAGACCAGCAAGACGGCGCAGCAAGTAAAGGTGTTTGCAGTCTGATGATCTGAGTTCGATTCCTGGGATCCACATGGTGATGAGGGACCACCCGGGAATGAGAAAAACAACTGTAAAACCAAAACAGCTGTGACTATTCCCATCCTTGAATTGAAGCCAGAGGCAGATAGCTCTCGAAGGGCAGGGTGAACTGCTCCGAAGGGCAGGGTGAACTGTTCTGAGAAAACCCACAAACGGCCAAAAACTACAAACAACCAGCTGTAAACTGTCTTCATGCTATTCTTGCTGACCAATCAATGTATAGAGTAAAAGTGGCCAGATTTTGAAGTATAAAAACCCTGTGCTTTGCATGCTCGGGGTCGTCTCCCGCCTTTGGAGGGGCGACCGTATTGTGACTGGAATAAACCTCTTGCTTTTGCATCGAGTTGCGGTCTGTGAGAGTTCCTGGGAAGGGCACAATCCTGAGCTCCTGATCTGTGAGACTCCAAGTCTTATGGTAGAAGGAGAGAACCAGCTCCTGAAGGCAACCTTCAACCTCCACACATGTGCCTCATTATGTATGTGTGTGTGCTCATACATAAATATGATAAACACTGATCTTGATTTACTGCCTGCAAACTCAAGCTATATTTTCGGGTTTTCGTTGTTGTTTATTTGTTTTTCAAGACAGGGTTTCTCTGTGTGGCCCTGGATGTCCTGGAACTCCCTCTGTATACCAGGCTGGCCTTGAACTCAGAAATCTCCTTTCTCTGACTCCCCAATGCTGGGATTAAAGATGTGCACCGCCACTGCCCAGCTTCTATTTTTGTTTTTTTTTAAAGGAGACAGGAAGGCTTTCCCTTTAGACTGCAGGCTTCGGCTTACAGTCTGAAGGGATAGGGTCCACCAGGGGGAGGAGGAGGCAGCCCCCATGGTGTCAGCAGTGACACTGAGATTTTTCACTCTTGTCGGGACTGCTCCAAGCCTGATGCTTTCTTTTTTAGTTTTTCAAGACAGGGCTTCTCTGTGTAGCCCTGGCTGTTCTGGAACTTGCTCTGTAGACCAGGCGGGCCTCAAACTGACAGTGATCCACCTCTCTGAATGCTGGGATCAAAGGCACGTGCCACTGGGCCCTGCTAAGCCCAATGCTTTAATCACTGTGCAGAGGTCAGGGTCTGTCAGCATTTACCTCTCAGACTTCCCATTTCCCTAGTCAGAACCGTTGTCATTTTCTCACTGTGTGAACACAGGGAAGGCAGAGAAGGCAGGACTACGACCATCTTACTATCACAGGTGCTCATGGGTGGTTCCATTACCCACTACATTAGTGACTCACATAGAAGTTGCCCAAAAGGCTTTCAGGACAGATGAAATGTATGGAAGGAAATAGAAGCTTCCTTCCCATAAACAATCTCTACTTCCCTGGGCCGGCCAGTCAGTAGGCAGAGTGTATAAGCTAATTGTCTCACACACCCTTGCCCCTCTGAGCCAGCAGGGAGCTGTGCCAAAGGCCATATGTCAAATGTGGTTAGGGGCATCTATGTCTAGAGACGCTCTCCAGATGAAGTTAGGCAGAGAGCAGGAGGCCCTGCTGGGGAGAGGGAGTCCTGCACCTTAGCTCAGAATGGCTATCTGGACTGGGAGGACTGCAACCTCAAACTCAGGGTCCTTCTAACATAATCCCAGTACTCAGAGGTGTAGGAAGGAGGATCAGAAGTTCAAAGTCATCCTCAGCTACACAGCGAGTTTGAGACGGCTTCTGATACCTGAGACTCTGGCTTACGAAAGGGAAAAAAAGGATGGGTGGTGCTCGCCTTGAATTCCAGCACTTGGGCTGCAGAGGCAGGCTCATCTCTGACTTTGAGGCCAGCCTGGTCTACAGAGCAAGTTCTGGGACAGCCAGGGCTACACAGAGAAACCCTGTCTTGAAAAAACAAAACAAAGCCGGGCGATGGTGGTACATGCCTGTCATCCCAGCACTCTGGAGACAGAGACAGTGTATCACTGTGAGTTCCAGGCCAGCCTGGTCTACAAATTGAGTTCAGGACAGCCAGGCCTACACAGAAAATCCCTGTCTCTGAAAAAAAAGAAGGAAAGAAAGAAAGAAAGAAAGAAAGAAAGAAAGAAAGAAAGAAAGAAAGAAAGAAAGAAAGAAAAGAAAAGAAGAAAAAACATCCAAACAAAGAAAAACAGAAAGAAAAGAAAAGAAGCACAGTGCTTCTCATGGCCCAGAAGTTCCAGTCGTGGCTATATATCACACATGACAGGTTCATAGCAGTGTTACCTGAAGGCACTGTCCACCAGCGCTTGAATGGATAAAGCCATGTGGTACAGCTGTATGACGGCATGTTTTCCCATTAAAAAAAAAAAAAAAAAGGAATCAGGGGTGGGAGGGATGGCTCAGAGGTTGAGAGCACTGCTCTTCCACAAGTCCTGAGTTCATTTCCCAGCAACCACGCAGTGGCTCACAACCATCTATAGTGAGATCTGGTTCCCTCTTCTGGTGTGCAAGCATACATGTAGCAATGACAGTGTCTGCACAGTAATAGAAAGAAATCTTAAAAAAAGAAAAAAAAAAAAAAAGGAATAAGGGGCGACACCCAGAAAACCTCAAACATAGTAAGCCAGGGCCAGCGAGATGCCTCAGCTCCGGGGAGATGTGCTTCCTGTGCAAACCTGTAATCGGTCCCCGGGACCCACATAACAGAGGAAGGGGAGAACCACCCCCCAAGGTTTTCCTCTGGGATCCCAGCGTTTGTGATCCCACAGGTTAAAGGGAACTGCGGCTGGAGGCTTGTTCAGTCCAACACTGCAGGGTTTGGCGTTTGGATCTCCTCCGCTACTGTCCATCCCGACCCCAGCCCTGAACTTGCTACACAGACCAGGCTAGCCTCAAAGTCACAGAAATCCACCTGCCCTTGTCTTCTGAGTAAGTGTTGGGGTTGAAGACGTCACTACCCTGCCCAGCTTCCTTTTCACTTTTTGAGATAAGGTCTCAGGTAGCTCAGGCTGGCCTCAGGCTCACACAATAGCCAGGGTGGCCCTGGGCTCCTGGTCCCCTTGTCTTCACCTGGAAGATGTCGGAATTTCAGGCGTCTGCTCTTCTACCCAGCCTTCCTCCGACACCATCCTCTGCTCCTGGCTATCGTGTCTGAAGCTACACTACTAGGAGCCTTCATTCCTGTAAACACTGGGTCACCGATTTTGCCCCCTTAGTCTGTGGCTGCCTAACCTGGGAGTAGTCCAGCTGACCCTCCATGACATGACGTCAGGAGCCTCCAAGCTCTTGTTCACATCCTCAGAGTTTGCCTCAGTCATTATTTACCGGTCGGGCTTTGTCCCCTTGGTCATTGTCTGATGGAAAGGTGCGGCCTCTGGCTATCACCCACAGCCCCAAGCCTGACAATTCGGAATGATCCCTCCGTGATCCAGGTGAACTTTGACCTGGGAAAGGCTGACAGTATCTTGTGCTGGGACAGGCATTCTTTTGTCTATCTCTTCCAAGGACCTGGCTTTGCACCTTTCACGTAGTTCCCTGCCAGGGCTTCGAAGGCCTCCTGAGCGCCTCTTCCATATGTGACTTCTGAGAGCGGGGACGTGTGGAATTGTGGAATTGCCAACTTTGAGATTGCCAGTCAAGCAAATCTAGAGACTTTCTGTTACAGTTGGGGAAACTGAGGCTTAGGCTGAGATAAGGTTATGTCCATAAAAATTGGCAGATTCCAGGTGGAATTCCTCAGACTGTGGAAGCAAACTGCAATCTCAGTGGTGCTTCTAAGTTACAAATGCTGCGTACAGTTTTATGGTTGAGGTCAGCTTTCTGAGGGCGTTTTCTTTTGTTAGTGCTGGCGAACTAACTGGCCTGTACTTGGTAGAAAAGCACTATAGCAGTGGGCTCCCACACTGTGTAATGGGGGCTTCAGTTAGGTCTGGGGGCTTCATACAAAATGGAGGAGACAGGGACCCGTAAAATCGGGTCCATGCTTCAGTCATGATAAGATCATGACTGAATTCCTTGTTAAGTCAGATTTGTGGCAGATGCTTAACCCCAGCTCCCATTTTTTGGGTATGGTGTGGGCCTCAGAATGAGTGAGAGAAAGAGATTGAAGTAGATGAAGGGATTAGGAATTAAATTGCAGGACTGGAGAGACAGCTCAGAGGTTGAGAGCACTGGCTCTTTTTCCAAAGGTCCTGAGTTCAATTCCCAGCAGCTACATGGTGGCTCACAACCATCTATAATGAGATCTGGTGCCCTCTTCTGACCCACAGGGATACATGCAGGTGGAATCCTATATAAATAAACAAATATTTTTAAAAAAGAGAATTAAATTACAGTCTACTTAACATTTGGTACCATGGCCTTTGATTTTTCATTTATTTGCAGCTCTGAGGATTGAACCAAATTCCTCCCTTACACAGGCACGTGCACTAAGCTTCATTCTGAGGCTTCCAGGATTCTTTTTATTTTATTTTTTTCCAAAACAAACAAACAAACAAACAAACAAAAAAAAAACAAGTCCCAAAAGCAAGAAATAAATCCCAACATAAAGGAGTGTGGGGCCTTGGATCTGTTTCCTGACTGCTGGTCCCCCACCCTCATGGTTGGGTAGGGCTTGAGACAATCTCTGAGTCCCTCTGATCAGAGGGTCAGCTGACCGGAAGACAGTCCCATTGTATGTAAAAGACTCTTAAGTGTTGTCTATTCCAACTGTGCCAAGTGGCAGACAGTGTAAGATCCCACTTGAGGAAGGAGAAACGCAGCAGATCCCATTGCAGCCCAGGGAGGCCAGGCCCAGGCAGAGGGACAGGTGAGTGGCTGCAACACTGCTTCCTGGTGATTCTCCTGCGGGAGGCTTGGTTTCGGGTAAAATCGGGTCCACGCTTCTTTACAAAGGAGACGTTGCCAGCTACTAGGCCACTCTCAGTCGGTTTGCCTTAGGCACATTCGTGGCTGCACCGTATTGGGAAATAAATGCAAACGGTTGAACTGGAGTCGAGGCTGCTTGGGCTGAAGGATTGAGGCCAGGGGACATGGGGAACTGCCGGGAGGTTTCACTCCTGTGCATTGCTAGCTCTGTGTGCCCGGCTATTCTCTCTCTCCCCTCTCTCTTCTTCTCTCTTCTTTCTTGGTTTTGTGAGACAGGGTTTCTCTGTGCAGCCTTGGCTATCCTGAAAAATAGACCAGGCTGGCTTTGAACTCAGAGTTCCACCTGCTTCTGCCTCCCAAATGCGGAGCTGCTCCTTTTCACTGTCACTTCTTTCTCCTGAGGAGACCTTGGCTGTGACGTGCTGTGAGAACATCTGTCTTTGCTAACAGTAGAAAGAGCCCCTGACTTGGAGCCAGGAGGCCTGGGTCAGAATCTTGGGCTGACTGCTGTCAAACTTAGAGTCCTGCCTTTGTGGATGGCTAGGCTCAGACCCTGGCTCCCCTCTTCCTGAGTGGATAATCTGGGTCAAGTTGCTCTACTTTTAGACCTTCAGTTTCCTCACCTCGAGAGAAGGCTGGTCTACTTTGAGCCCTGCCAGTCTGCTCACTCCTTCTCCTAGATATTCTGTGACAACCATTAAGGGAGGAATGTCCAGGAGGCAGCACCAATAGCTTCCGGATTAGGCACATGGACTGCCTCCAGTTCTGGGTCACTCCAGATTATAGAGTAAGAAAGTAGCACCCTGTGTCAAGTAAAAGAAAACAAAAAGCAAAATGTGGTATAGGTCTGGAATCCCAGCACTTGGGAGGCAGAAGCAGAAAGATCAGGAGTTCAAGGCCAACCCCAGTTACATATTGAATTTGAGACAAGCCTTGATTACATGAGACTCCATCTCAAGAAATGCAGTTGGATTTGGATTGAGCCAAGCATTGATTGTCATGCAGCCATAGAATTCAATCATCAGTTAGGGGTAGAGGTGCTCAGTGAGGAGGGGAGAGAGAGAGATTGATTTGAGGTAAGTAGAATTGAAATGAAACTATATAAAAACATTTATTTTTATTTATTTATATTTTGTTCCTGTTTTTCAAGATAGGTTTCTCTATGTAGCTCTGGCTGTCTTTGAACTTACTCTGTAGACCAGGCACAAACACTTTTTTTTTTTTTTAATATCCAACTTAAAAAAAATTTTTTTTGGGTGTATGTGTGTGTGTAATCTACAAGTCATTCAGAGTATCTTTTACTGTGATTTTTTTTGTTTTATCTATAAGTTTGTTTGTTGAACTCCTGATATTCCTGACTCCACCTGGGATTGTAGGCACATATCTTTTTGCCCATTTGTATTGTTTTTTTGAGACAAGGTCTTGCCGTTGTAGCTCAGGCTGGCCTCAGGCATCTGACTGCTGAGATAACTGTCATTTGCCATCAGGGGTGGTGGGGTTTAGTAAATGTATAACCAAATTAGTTATTTCTTTATACCTCCAACCTTCTGAGCATGTAAATAAGATCACACACACACACACACACACACACACACACACACACACACACACAC